TCTTTGTATTCTTCATAATTGCAATTTTAATGGTGGTGTAATGTAGTAATTCATTCCATTCAAGTGTATCTAAGCTTATTTTAGTCAGCTTTTATTACAAATAACCTTTTTCCAGATAGCTCTTTCTTTCTTCTTTTAAAAATGAAATCCTTGTAGTGTATCCCTAGCAGCAGGATTATTTGGTCAGAGGTTTGTAATTTGTGTTATATGCTCCTTCATTGTTCCTTGTTTTTCACCGTATTAATATCTAGTTTTCTCAGTATTTTGAACAATGATTCCTTTTGCCAATGTTTCATATCTATATGTTTATCAAACACCAAACATACTTTTTATACATTTAGTTCTATTTCTGGAATCTATATTATGATCTAATTTTTTGTCTGCTAGATGATATTGATAATTGTTGTGGCTATATATGTGTTAAAGCCTGTCCTTTTAGAAGACTGAGAAAAAACAGAATTATTCAACTCTTAATTTACGTCTCTTTTCTCTGCTATGGAAACTGATCTTTGGACTGGAAAGACAGAACAAATGTAGCTAAAAGGGGAAAGATAAGTAAAATAAATATAGCTATACATATATAACTATATATGTATATAATACTATATATATAATATAAATATAACTATATATATATAACAAATATAAGTATAACAAATATAGCTAAAAGGGGAAAGATAAGTAAGGAGATGGTAAAAGCCCTTAGCTGTCCTCAGTTACATAAAGTGACTGGGTCTGAATGAACTGCATCTTAGGGTGCTGGCAGATATGATTGTCAGGCCATTGGCAGTGATTTTCAAAGCATCATGAAGAATGGGAGAGGAACTCCAGAATTGGAGAAAGAAAATATCCCTGTTTCTAAAAAGAAGGAGAACAATCTTCAAACTGTAGGCTAATGAGCTTGTCTTTGATTCCTGACAAAATTCCAGAATGTATTCAAAGTATGATGATAGAACATGCAGAAGAGGAAGTTGTGATCACAGAGGTTCTTCAAGAATATGTCATATCAGAGGAGCTCCCATTTCCCTTTTTGCAAGGTTTTTAGATGAGTAGATGATTTGAATGCTGTAGAAATATCATTTACCTGTATTTTAGCAAAGTATTTAATAAAGTATCTCTTGTGGAAAAGAAAGAGGTGTGGGCTAGATGATAGTATAGTTTAGATGGATTTGGAATTGGTTCAGTGACTGGACCCAAAACACATTCATTAATGGTTCATTTTATAAAGCAGTGGCTTTGGAATCTGGGGACCTGTGTGTGATTCTCAACTCTGCTATGTATCATTACCTGTAACACTTGGGACCAGTCACTTTAACCACTCTGGACCTCGGTGAGGGGGCTGATGACCACTCAAGGCCCTTACTGCTCCAGATTTATGTTTTTAGGATTCCATCTGAACTTGGAAGGAAATCTCTAGTAGAATGCTCCAGGGTCCTGTGTTTTTAACATTTTTATTGGCAACTTGAATGAAAGCATAGAAAGCATGCTTATCAAATATGCAAATACTGCAGAGCTGAGAGGGATAACTAACTTGCTGAATTAACAGTCAGGATCTAAAAAGATCCTGAACAGGCTAGAATGTTGGGCCTGACCTGTTAAGTTTAGTTTTAAATTTAATAGGTATCCAAAAATGAGATCTGGGAGTTTCAGTAGACTACAAGCTCAATATGAGTCAACAATATGATTTGGCAGTTAAAAAAAATCTAGTGTTCAGGGTCAGGAAAGTGGTAATCCCACTGTACTATTTTTGGCCACATTTTGGGAAAACCATTGGTAAGCTGTCAAGCATCTAGAAGAGGGTTGTGAGGATAGTGGAAAAGGCCTCAAGTTCATGCCATGTGTAGCTCCATTGAAGGAATTGGGGACAGTTAGCCTGGAGAAGTGAAGACTTGGAGATGTGGTAACTGTCTTCAAGTATTTAATGGGCTCAGATGGGAAGAGGAATTAAACCTGTTCTGCTTGGCCCTAGAGGACAAAACTAGGAGCAGAGGATAGAAGTGATAGTGGCAGATTTAGGCTTGACAGAAGAAAAAGCTTCTTAAGAGTTGGACTCTCTTGTCAAATATGCTATCGAAGGGATTTGGGGGGGGGTTATGTTTATGGGTTTTATTTGATGGTATTTGGGTTGTACATACAGTTTGACCTCTGGGGTCCTTTACAACTCTTAACAAAGATTATTTCTCTAGTTGTTCAGTGCTTCCTTTATGTCTGTCATTATTTTAAATTATATAATATTTTTGATTAGCAATACTGCCAGGCCTCCAGGCAACTTTCTTACACTAAGTTATAGAAATGATGTCATACCATTTACAATGGTACAGAGAGTTTCCTCTGCAGGTCCAAACTCTGTCCTCCATAATGAAATTATTGAGCACTGTTTTGGGCACCATAGAGTTTGCTTAGTGCTTAGTAAATGTGATCTGGTCCCCCATAGATCTGATCAACTAGATCTAGTGTAACTGATGACCCAAGAATAGAGCCAATAGTGTGAACAGGGAAGAGGAGATGGGACTGATAAGCATATTTGAGGGTTTATTCCTATAATTCATAAAATATCTCCCTGCCCTTCCCCCAAATAAAAACAAACTACCTTTTTTAAGCATTGAGAATATTTTACTCACCAAAAAGAATATTTTCATGCAACTGAAACTTCTCTCTTCAGAATTACCAATGGTTTCTAAATAATCAGATTTTTTTTTAGTCTTCATTCTTTTCTTTTTTTTCTCCCACTTAATAGTATTTTTTTCAATTACATGCAAAGATAGTTTTCAACATTCATTTTTATAAGGTTTGAGTTCCAAATATTTCTCCCTCCCTTCCTTCCTCCTCCTCCAGCAAGCAAAGTCATCCTTTTCAACCTGTTTGCTATGTTTGACTCTGGTAACCATACTCTCTTCCTTTCTGTGACTTCATGACTGTTTTCTCTCCTGCTTCTTCCCCCACTTGTATGACCACTCCTCAGTCTCCCTTGCTGATTCATTATCAGTATTATGCCTCATAACTCTTGAGATCATATCTACATGAATGAGTCATAGCTTTCTGTATATATCTAGCCCTAGTCTTTCCCTTGAGCTTCAGGCCAACCATCACCATTTGACTAGTTGACATTTCAAATCAAATGCCCAGGAAACGTTCTAAACTCCACATGTTCAAAATTGAACTCACTGTTTTTCCTCTTAAACCCTCCCTTTCTTTAAGTTTTCCACTTTTTTTTCTTAGGCAAGTGGGGTTAAGTGACTTGCCCAGGGTCACACAGCTAGTAAGTGTCAAGTGTTTGGTCTGAGGCCGGATTTGAACTCAGGTCCTCCTGACTTCAGGGCCAGTGCTCTGTCCACTGCACCACATGGCTGCTCCTTAAGGCTCCCACTTTCAATTGAAAGTACCACCATCCTTCCAGGGTTTCAGGTTTCTAAACTTAGCATTAGCTTGAACTCCTCACTATCCTTCACCCCAGATATCTTAGATCTTGCTGTTTCTACCCCTTGTCTCCATTCACATAGCTGCCACTTTTGTTGAGGCCCTTTTTTACCTAGATTATTCTAACATCCTACGAATTGGTTTCTCTACTTCATCTCTTACCACTTCAGTCTATTTTGTACTCTGCTGCCAAAGTAATTTTCTGTAAGCACAGATCTGACTATGTGTCTCTCCTCTCAAATCTTTCTTGTATCATGGACCCGTCCTTTGGCAGTCTGGCGAAGCTTGTGGATTCCTTGTCAGAATGATGTTTTTAAATGCACAAAATGAAACACAGATGATTACAAAGAAACCAATTATATTGAAATGCAGTTCTCAGAATATTTAAAAAATTTCACAATCTAGCATAAAATTTCCTGGCCCCAACTTATCTTTCCCGTCCTAAACTCTGCAGTTTAGCCAAAGTGTCCTTCTCTTTCTTTCTCACATACAACCCTCTATCTCCTCTCATTGCCTCTGTACTAACCATCTCACATGCCTGAAATGTATTCCATCTGTACCTCTACCTCAGAGATACCCTGCCTTCCTTTACGAAACCGCTCAAGCAGTATCTTTTGTGTGAAGCTTTTCCTGATTCCAACTGCTAGGATCCTCCCCAAATACTTTGTATTTAACTCTTTTTGTGTTGGTTTACTTTATATTTCCGCTGCATATGTTTGTATAAGGACTTGTTGCCTCCTCCATTAGAGTATAAGCTCTTGGATCGTAAGGGATTGTTTCATTCTTTGCATTTGTTTACCCAGCTCCTAACAGTGCTTACAAAGCAGGGGTTTAATAAATGCTTGCCACCCTAAGGGTGAACCAGGGACAGTTATTAATAGCTAACACAAAGAATCTAATCTGCCTCGCCCTGCCCCCCCCTACAATTTAGATATAAACCACTATTAATATTTTTAAAAACATTCTTTTTTTGGGGGGGGGGAGCAATTGGGGTTAAGTGACTTGCCCAGGATCACACAGCTAATAAGTAAGTGTCAAGTGTTTGGTCTGAGGCCGGATTTGAACTCAGGTCCTCCTGACTTCACGGCCGGTGCTCTATCCACTGTGCCACCTAATTGCCCCAAAAATATTTTCTTAACTTTCACCAAATAGGGTCAGTTACTTTTTATATTTTTTTAGTAGCACTAAGATCCAGAGAGGCAGCTGGTAAGAGTGGGGAACTTCGTGGAGGAAATACAAGGCATATTCCCTCCTCAGAATTTGGGGAGGACAGGGAAATAGGTGAGAAAAAGTAGATAAAGCCTAAAATGAAGATAAGAAACAAATGATTGCATTGAGAAGAGAAATGCTAACAGAAAGTATTACCTTAGCAAAATCTAATTTGCTGATCATTAATAGAAGTTAGCAACATCAGCCCCTATGTTGAATACATTAATAATTTGTATGCCCTGAATATTCTGGTGATTGTTGGATTTTATTTTGACTTACTTTGAGTATTATTTCCCTGGAAGCATTTTGTAGGACTTTTGGGCTACAGATTGTGTGTCAAGTATGTGTAATGTTATCTGAATTTTTCTTTATAGGTAGCATGCCTCGAAAGTAATAGATCTTTCCTCATATTCTTACCATGGAGGACTCGGGTAGGAAGAATTTCAGCTCAGAGGAGGAAGAAATTAGCTACTGGAAAGACTTAGCTATACAGTATAAGCAACGGTAAGTTATTAAACTTCCCCGTTGCTCCTATCTCATTATATATCCACCATCTTAACTCCTTGTGGACTGGCATAGTGGTTAGAGTGCTGGACTAGGAGTCAGAAGACTTGTATTCAAATCTTCCCTCAGAAAAAGTACTAGTTGTCTGATCCCAGGCAAATCATCTAACTTCTCTGGCTCTCAGTTTCCTCATCTGTAAAATGAATGAGATTGGACTTGGATCTCTAAGGTTCCTTTCAGCTCTAAATCTGTCGATCCATGCCCCATCAATTCTGAAAATAGAGAAAATGAGCTTTCCTCAGCATCATGTTATAAGCATATGTAGTGTGGTGAAAAGAGCCCTGAATTTGGAGAAGACCCAGGTTCATATCATGTCTTTGTCATTTAGTAGTTCTATAACCTTGCTGTAACCAAGTTGCTTGGTGTGTGTGTACTTCAGTTTCCTGATCAACAAAGTAGGGATAATAGCTGTACTCTCTACCTCTCATGACTGTTTTGATGATCAAATAATGCAAAGCATTTTGTAAACCATAAAAGGCAGTATACCAATGTCAGCTCTTATGTCTTCTGACAGTCAAATCTTTATGAAAAAAAGAAAAGGGTATTTAGGACTTTGAATTTTCTGTGGTAGTCCTCACCTCTGGTTTTGTGTTTGTTTGTTTTTTAATGGTTTCTCATTATCTCATGTAACCCAAAGTTGCCTGATATAAGGATAAATACTGGTTCTCAAGTCACCGGACCTGGGTTCAGATTTCACCTCTGATGTGATTATAATCCTGGAAACCTCCCAGGAGAAGTTTTATTCTATGGATTATTACTTCCTTCTACTCAAACACATTTTAGATTTGGTATTATGTCGTTCCTCCAATTTCAGGTATTGGGGACAGGAGGTTAGAGAAAAGGAAGATTAAAAGATGGATGGTACTAGATTATTCCACAAAGTTCTGGACGTCCGACGTATAAGTTAGTGGTTGGGAATTCTTTTTTAGGGCGGAAAATACACAAGAGGAACTGCATGAATTCCAAGAGGGAAGCCGAGAATATGAAGCTGAACTGGAGACCCAGTTGCAACAAATTGAAACTAGGAATCGGGATCTTTTGTCAGAAAATAACCGCCTCCGCGTGGAACTTGAAACAGTTAAGGTAAGAAGGCAACGAGCAGAGATCCATTTAGGGACCAGTTGTGTTTTCAGAGGACTGTTGGTGAAGTAGGCCGTCTTGTCCAAAGCACAGGTCGGAGTAGGCTGGAGTCCCGTGGGGTCAGTTATGGCCAGTGGGTTGGTTCACTTTTCTTACCTCTCCTTTGTTATAAGGAAGTATTCTGTTGGGCAGAGGAAAAAAAGAGAAGCATCAATTAAAAAAAAAGAAAAGAAAGATGGAACAGAAATCTTTTGCAGGTGTTGAAGGAACAGGAACATTTTAAGTGGGCAAAGGCACACGGGTAGGAACAAGCTTGGTGGGAGCTGTGGACATGAAGATCCTGATCTGCCTGAAACAGAGGGTACGGTTTGGGTGAATGATAGGATAAGGTGAGGTAGGGCTTGGAAGCTTTGTGCCCTAGGCAGCTACATCCCTCAGTAGCTAAAAATTATGCCACTATATGTTACTTTCCACCTGAGGTTTTGAACTTTCACTGCACATGCAATTTAATTTATCATGAAATAAATACATGTTATGGAGAGCAGAATTTCTAGCTTGAAGAATCACATACATTTATAAAAAATAATATTGAATAGTGTTCCATAGAACATCCCTGACTTATGGCTAACACATTCCCTCCTAATTCAGAGTTCTAGGCTGCCTACCAAAAGCACCTTTCTTCTGCGTTTTCTCTCTGATTCTTCATTTTCTTCCATCTCAGCCATTTTCCTTTCTCTAGACTCTTATCCTGTTGTGTTATCCCCTTCTCTCATGTCCTATGGAATAACTTATATTTTACTGTTAACACACTTTTCTTTGAGTTGGAGCCCTTTCTCTCATACTCCTTCCATCTTCGTGAATTCAACAGAAATCTGGCTCCCCCCTAAAAGATATTGCAGCCCCAGATACCCTCTCCAGTTGTGAGTGTACCTTCCCCTCTGCCTCAGGAGGAAAATAGGTTCCTTACTAACACTTTCAGACCCTCCCTTTGCTGCTGCCATTCCTTTGAGATTTACTGCATCATCTCTATCACCCTTTCTAGCTTCTGGTTTCAATTAAAAACCAACTCCCATATCATTCTCCCTCCTTTCTCAAGGAGTTTAACACCTGGCTCAGCTAGGTGGTGAAGTGTAGAAAGTGCTGGACTTAGGAAGACTTGAATTTGAATCCTGTCTCAGGCACATCTATCAGCTGGGTGACTCTTGGCAAGTAACTTCACCTCTCAGCCATATCCTTATCTATAAAATATAGATAATAATAGCACATACCTCACAGGATTATTGTAAGGATCAAATGAGATAATTTATGTAAAGTTCTTTACAAGCCTGAAAGTGCTATATAAATGGTAGCTGTTGTTAACTGTTATTTTAAAAATCTTTATTTGATCTTGCTGTCCTCTCAAACGATGAACATAGCTTTCTTCCCTTTTATAAGCAAACACCTCAAAAAAGCCATTTATACTTTTTTATTTCTACTTCTCCTCTCTTGTAATTCTCAACCCCTTGCAGTCTGGCTTTGAACTCCTTACCATTTTCCTGAAACTGTTTTCTCCAAAGGCATCACATCTTTTAACAGCTAAATCTAGTCTTCATCCTTGGCATCTCTGCAGCATTTGACCTTGTTGATTACTTCCTCCTTTTCATGGGTATTCTGTCTTCCCTCCTGCTTTCATGACTCTGTTGCTTGGATTTTTCTCCTACATTTGTGCCCACTGCTTGTCAGTCTTCCTCGGGGTCATTGTCCATGTCCTGACTCCTAACCATACCCTTAGACCTTCTGTTCTGTTTCCTGTTCTCTTTTTATATACCTTCTTTGGATGATCTCATCAGTTCCCATGGTCTAAATGGACTCTGTGCAGATAGATAACAACAAAATCTGCACATCTATCTCTAATTTCTCCCTTGTGACTTCTTTCCTGCTCACTAACTACCTGTTGGACATCTCCAACTGAAGGCTTCTCAAGCTCGGGTTGTCCAAAAGAGAATTCATTGGCTTCCATGCTGAATCTACTTCTCTTCCAGACTTAACCATTTTTGTTGAGGGGATCACTGTCTTTCTAGTAATTCGAGTTTGTAGCCTAAGTCTGCTTTCTCCCTTGCCCCTCCATACCAATTAGGTGACAAGTCTTGTCAATTTTATATTCATTGCTTCCATTCTCTCCTCTCCACTCACACAGTTCTCATTATCTATCACTTGCATTATTGCAACAGCTTTGTAATTTGGCTTCCTGTTTCCAGTTTTCCCAGCTCCAAGCCACCTTCCACACAGCTGCTGAAATAGTCTTCATAAAGCCCAAATCTGACCTCGCCACAGTCCTGCTCAAGAAAGTTTGGTGGCTCCTTTTACTGCTAGGAAAAAATACAAACTCTTAGTTTATAGATTAGAGCTGAAAGGCACCTGATGTCATGTATTCCAAACCTCTCATTTTATTTTTAATTTTTAGCTTTTACAAAGATATGTTTACTTTGAAGAAATAGCAAGAACAAAGTACAGACGTTTTCCCCAACATCTCTGGAGCATACTGTTCCCTGCACCTTGCTGTCTGGTGGAGGAAGTAGGCTCAAAACTTGGCTCAGTTCCTACGTGTCATTGGTCCCACCAGTTTCATGTCCACTCTTTGTCTCATCCGCTGGTCTGGAGTCCCAAAAGACGCTCTTCAGAGGATTAATGCTGAAAGCCTGCTTGGAACACTCGGACATCAAGGTTTCCTCTAGAACCCTCAAATTCCCAGTGTCAAGGAGGCTTTACCTCCCTCACTTGGAACAGAAAAAACCAAAGAGCTAGGCCTATTTCTTGGGCTGTGTGGCTCTCAGGGCTACCCCCACTTTGCGCGTGGTCTCACCAGATTCTGTAACTAAGTCCAAGCTCTCCTAGACACAAGTGAAGCCAAAACCAGCCTCCACATTTTATAGATGAGAAAAACTAGAGAGGGGGAATGACTGCTCCAAGGTCCCACAGGGAATAAAAAAGGGCAGGCCTGGGCCTTAAACCCAGACTCTCTGTCTTCATTTCCTGTGCTCTTTTCACTGTAGCTGGTATTCATACCTTTTCTCCTTCCAGCTCCAGCTAAGTTTTAATCAGACTTTTCCTGAGCTGGAACATAACTCCATCTCTTAAGAATTCTAGCTTATTTAAGTTTCAACTCCTTGTGCCAACTCCAATGAGAAGCCTTTATTGATGCCTCTACTTATTTGTGCCCTCTCTTCTCCTCATACTTCCATATATGTACTAAACTGTTTACATATTGTCTCCACCAGTAGGAAGGAAGCTAGTAGGGTGGGGGTGGAGTTCCTTATCTCTATATCCCTGGCACCCTACACAGTGCTTTGCACCTAATAGGTGTTTTTAATAAATGCTTGTTGCATTAGATTGGATTTGCTGCCTTCTAGACAGCTGCCTACTTTGCACATCTGTAATCCCAACTGGTCAAGTCAGGTTATGAGGAATTGTGAAATCAGAGTAGAGATAAGTGTAGACCTGATAAGGTAGGCAACAGGGAACTATTATTATAGGTTATTAAGCAGGGGAGTAATATGACTGAAAACTGCATTTTAGGAAGATGAGTCTTACATAGTGGTGTGCTAAGTGTTTGGAAGTACACAGCACCTGAAGGACGTAGGAGGGCCAGATGGCTGTTGCAGTAATCCAGATGTGAAGCAAATTGCTGGTGCTGAGTAAAATATTAACTCTTTCAAGCATGAAAGATTGAATTACTTAGACTGATCCTAAAAAGCCAACATTGGAGAATATATTAGCATTAAAAAGTGGGAATAGTAGAAAATAGAGGGAGAAAAAGTAGAAATAACTTGGTCTTTGTTTTTTAAAAACCTCTATACTAAAATACATCAACAAGTACTCATTTGTAAATCACCTTATAGAAACATTCAACTGAGACTGACTTCCTGACAATTGCCTTATTCATCACATGTTGAATATAAAACCCTGTAAGGGAAGAAACAGAGAATCCATTGATAGCTGCATCAGCTGACAGTTTATTATAATTAGCACAAAATGAAAGCTCAACCTTTCAGCAACATTCTTTCTTGTTCATCCTTTCAAAAGAGAGAAGATTTAAATGTGTAAGTATATGGGAAGTGTCTTACAAACCTGTGTTCTTTCAGGACATATTTTGAAAGGAGGTTTTCTGTCCAGGATTTTGTCAGAACATACTACATAGTTATTCATTATCCTGTTTCCCAAATATATGAATAAGGACTTTAGAGAATCTCCCAGTAAAATGAAGTGAGATATCATCAACTCTTTGGGAACGCCAGTGTGGACAACTTTGTCATTAGGGAGTGACATCAGCTTGTGCTTCTTGGTTTGGTAACTTACTGAGATGGAGATTGCTTAAGCGGTGTGTTTGCTTGTGGCCAGGAAACTGCCCCAAGGGGAACAAAACCATTAAAGATGTCGAATGTCTCTCCTCACACTGTGAACAATATGCATGTTCTTCTGATGTTCTTTCACAATGGCTCTCTCCACAACTCTCTGGTCTATTCGTCATTACATCACTTAAAACCCTCCCAGAGACTGACTCATATTTGTTTCTGGGAACAGCTTTGTTTACAGAACAGAGAAAAGAAAAAAAAATGTTCGTTTCAAAAATTAAATTGAATTTTTGTTCTTGAACATGAGAGGTAGGTGCTTTTTTCATTCTAGCAATAATTTCAGGCTGATTGCAAATTACTCGCTATGATTATGTGGAAATGATTTTATGGAGAAAAATTGAGGCAAATTTTGTATTTTGTTTGGGTACATGTCTTGTGAATTTTTAAAAAGAGAAAAGTGGTCTCTGATTTTAATTGAGCTTATCATTAAATCATATGAGACAAATAGACCATTAGAAGGAAAGGTTTTAGATCTATATCTGTCTTTTACAAAGGATTACATAAAGCATACCAAAAAAGTAAAGACCTTCCACGTTTCAGTATCCTAGAGGTTAAAAAAAAGTTTTCAAATTCCTCTTGCTTTAGAGGAAACATGCTATAACAAAGAAATTAGAAACGATGTTAAGGAGAATGTGTTCATTGCTAATGATGTATGATCTAGACAAATTAAAGTACGTAATGAAATAGGTCAATATTGTTTTCATTTATTGGCTAGACAGAGAGGTTAGAATAACTTTATTTAGGTAAGTAACATAACAGTAGTTGCAGGATTGACTTTTCTTTTACTTTTAATGAAACAACAAATGTACTTTTTCAGAAATGTTAAATCATTCATGTGGCATTGGTTTCATTTCTCAGGAAAAGTTTGAAATGCAGCATTCTGAAGACTACCGACAGATCTCTGCATTAGAAGATGACCTTGCACAGACTAAAGCAATTAAAGATCATTTACAGAAATATATCAGGGAGCTAGAACAAGCAAATGATGACTTGGAGAGAGCAAAACGGTGAGGATGAACAGATAGTTTGATTTTCACATTTTAATCGTTTTTGTTTTTTAGAAAAAAGTGAAATGATTTATTTTTAACATGAGAATAAGATATAGAAATATTACTTCTTTGAACAAAAATTTACCCAGTTTCTTTAGCCAGCTTTGCTAAAATCTTTTGATCTGATGAATTGTGTAGTGTGAGCTTATGTGTAATTTTTTCTCATTACAGAGCTACTATCATGTCCTTGGAAGACTTTGAGCAGCGGTTGAATCAGGCCATTGAAAGAAATGCCTTTCTGGAAAGTGAACTTGATGAGAAAGAGAATCTCCTAGAATCTGTTCAGCGATTGAAAGATGAAGCTAGAGGTTAGGTGGACATTTGTGCAATTTTGCCATTTTCCCTAGTGTCCTCATCCAGCAGTCCTAAGGCCTCATCCCTCACCTTCCCTGCCCCATCCCACAGCTTTAAGCAGACACTCCCTTTTGCTGGGAAGTTGAAGTTTCCTATGTTAATGAATGCTTATGGAGCAGACTCAGACTCGTTAGACTACCTATTACTGCTTTGGGTTAGGCACCTCACTCTGTTGTCTGCGTGAGAACAAGAGGTATTCTTTCATGGAATCGGGCTATGACCCATATGGAGTCTTGGCTGAAATTCTTTTCTCATGTTAGGTTCTGTCTCCACAGCCTTAGCCACTGTGGTAACAGTAGTACCCATTTCAGGAGAGATGCTTCCTCAGTGTTGCCTTTACTTCTGAGGTGATTGGATGTTAATTAAGAGCAATGATGGGGGGAATTGCCCTGTTTGTGGAGCTTCCAACTGCCAGCTACAGTCCTGTGGCCTAATGGGAATTGGAACAGTCTAAAATCCTGTCTGTCCCCTTCAATTCATTACTTGATGTAAAATCATCAGATTTCCGAGTATTTACTAAGGTGTGTGTGTCTGTGGCTGTGTGTCTGTGTCTGTGTGCGGTGCCTGAGTAGGACAGAGAAGAAGTAGAACATGAGGTTCACAATCTAGTTTATTTTGAAGGCCTGGGAGGGATGGAGGGATAGTTCTCTAGTTGTGTACTTTATGCTCTCCAGGTTCTTTTTAGAATTCATCCCATCAGTTTGTTTTCTTCATTTTTGGTTTGTTTTTGCTTTTTTGTGAGGTTAAATGACTTGCTCAGGGTCACACAGTTAGTAAATGTCAAGTGTCTGAGGTCGGATTTGAACTCAGGTCCTCCTGACTCCAAGGCCAGAGCTCTGTCCATTGCGCCACCTAGCTGCCCCCATCAGTTTGTTTTTACAGTCAACATTTACTGTAGACACATGATGGCAGTTTAGATTGAAAGGAGAATAATTTTTTTTGTATCCTTATCTTTGTAAGATCTGCGACAGGAATTAGCAGTGCAGCAGAAGCAAGAGAAACCCAGGACTCCTATACACAGTTCATTGGAAGCAGAGAGGACAGATACTGCTGTGCAGGCCACTATGTCTGTGCCATCCACACCTGTAGCACACCGAGGACCCAGTGCCAGTGTAAACACACCTGCATCATTCAAGAGAGGTAAAGGGATGGTGAGAGAAATTTCTAGCATTTTTGAAAAGAGATCAAAGGGAGGGAGGAGCAAGATGGATAGATACCCTAGTTTGTTTTTATAAATGTATGTGTATATTTATACATGTATATATGTATGACATCATTCCAGTGTCTGAGTTATCCGCCTCAGGTAGAAACTGGATGAAAAAGCTGGTAGTGTTCTGAACAACACCCAAGAAGCTTGTTTAACCTTGAGTAAGTAATAGGGTGAGAATTCAGTGAAGTGAATTCTAACTCCAGTGATTCCATGGATAAATTACATGGTCCCAGTCAAGCCACTTAGTTTGACTCATACATCATTTTTCACATCTGTACAATAGATATACATTACTACATTCCAGAATTCTGCTGAGATAATTAATAAAGATAGTTATGAAACACTTTGTATTTAGTATTTAATGTTAACAGGTACTTTTAATAATGATACAAATACTATATTATTCTAGAATTAGGTAGTATGTATTTTGGACTTCCTTGGGAAAACAGAAATATTTGCCACACACTACATAAGGACTACAAGAGTTACCCATAGAACAAACCCCTAAAGTGGTAGGGTGTGAAAATGTTTGTTCTATTATTGTAGTATATTGTAGAATTGGAGGCCATTCATAATGAAAGTGCACAAAAGAATCTGACAGAATGCTTCTCTGCCATACCTTGGTCTGGGACCTTGGAGTTGCATAGCGTTTCTAAGAGTCTTCTCCCTCTGCACTTTCTAAGGCTTGGAGGACAGTTACGGGGGCACTCCTCTCACACCGGCTGCCAGGATATCCGCACTGAACATCGTGGGAGACTTGCTTCGGAAAGTCGGGGTAAGAAGAGGTGGCTTCCCATTGTTTTGTATGGCCTCTTACAGATGCAGAATTCAGATGGAACCATAGGACTTTAGTTGAGATCCGTTTGTTTGTTGTATGAATTTTATACTTGACTTTGGCTCTTTGTGCAACATAACGTGACACTTTGATGCATTATCTACATTTGATTGAAGTTGATTTCTTTTGAAAGACTGAATAATTCAGTATTGAGAAAAGTGATCTTTGTGTGTTGGCTTCTTCATTTCAGTGTAAGGTCCGTGAAGGCAGGAACTGTCTCATTTGCTTTTAGTTGTATCCCTAACACTTAGCACAGTGCCTGGCACATAATGAATGCTTAATAAATGACATTTTTATTTAATTTTTTTTATTTTTAGTGAGGCAATTGGGGTTAAGTGACTTGCCCAGAGTCATGCAAGTAGGAAGTGTTGTGTGTGAGGCTGCATTTAAACTCAGGTCCTCCTGACTCCAGGGCCGGTGCTCTATCCACTGTGCCACCTAGCTGCCCCTCATTTTTATTTAATTTTAACAACTGATCTTCTTAAGGAAAGGTTAATAACATGAGGAGACTGGTTTAATTTCCTCTTCAGCATTTGGTTCCCACCTGACATTCCTACCAGTGGCAAGTCATTTAACCTGTCTAGCTTTAATTTTCTTATCTCTTAAGTGAGAATATTAAATCTATTGATGTCTTTGGTTTCTTCCAACTCTCAGTATGTGAATCTGTGTATTCCAGAATAGAATTCACTTAGAGCTCTGTCCTTTCAAACCAAGACATTCAATCCTTTCCCCAAGGTGGCTGTATGTTTTACTAGGGAATGTACCTGGATTTTTCTTCTCAAATTGACTTTTTAAAAATATTTAGAGATTTACTTAATTCTGGAACTCTTGAGGGATATTTTGAGGCCATATTTGTTTCTCTTTGTTTCTCATGCAGTTAATTTCTTAAAGAGAAAATTTTAAAAGGCTGAGGCAGAAAACTTACTTTTATAGGTTTGATATTCACTGCAAGGGAAGCGTTTCTATTTTGGGACTAACAAATATTCTTCATAATTTAAAAAAAATGATATTTTGAAGGCTATGGAATGCAAACAAAGCTCATCCTATTTTCTATATGAGTAGGTACCAACATGTATGACTTCATGGAAACTTGTAACTAATTCTTTTTGTTGTTGCTTTCAGTTTTCTTCTTTAAAGAGCCTAATTTCATTAAACTTATCTTATTTTCCATTATATTGAACAAAGTCTAAAGTTTGGGCACCTACTGATATTTGTGCCAGGCTCTGAGGCTGTCTTGATATGTTGGCTTTGCTTTTCACATCATTTGTTTTCACAAGGCAAAACCAGTGCCTGTTTGATTTCTAGTCTGCCTTTGCACTTGTGACCATGTTTCAAGTCCTGAACAAGAACCTCAGGAGTTCCTTTACTAATCTAGGTGTGTGGCATGTTTCCTTAGAACTGAGTAAAAGAGCAGTTAGGGTTCATCATTTTGTAGAGACCACTTAATTTTTTTAAGCAGTTCTCTGGAATTAACTTGACAATAGAGTCCCTGCCTCTAACTCAGAAATAAAAACATTTCTCTTTAGGCACTGGAGTCCAAACTTGCATCCTGTCGAAACTTTGTATATGATCAGTCCCCAAACAGAACAAGTGTTGCATCCTCAGGGAGAGGCATGAAGACCAGAGATGGCAGTGACAAACGGCCAAACAGCACCAGTGTGCCTTTGGGAGAGAAAGGGTTAGTATTGGTTGCTACATACTCTCTTGAGAACTGAGTCTGTGCAAATAGCTAAGGAGATGCTCATTTCATTTTAATATCCCATAACATTGGTTTGTAACAACATTATGAGAATTCTGCAGTTGAACCCATGTCACCAAAGTCATTATTTGTCTTTATAACTTCAAACAATACTCTCTTTCTTGGAAGAGTATTTTATTTTTTCCAGAACCTTCAGGAAATTGGCATTAAATTCTGATCAGATAAGATTACCAGAACTAGTCACTAGATCTGGAAATACTTAGTTGTCCTAATCTACTTTATTTGTATTTATGTTGTTTTTGTTTTGGTTTTTGAAAAGGTTATCCAGAAGCATCTTCCAGATTCATGGAGTTTATTTAGAAATATGCCCACCACCTTTTTAAACTAAGAGCCAAGTTTCTAGTTGACCCTCTGTAAGGCAAAAGTTAACCAGGAATTTTTCCGATGTCACTATGATGCAAAACTGATTGCAGATTTCTACTGAACTGTTAGAAATCACTGTTTTTAGACAGTTTTCAGAAACTGAACATGTCATTAATCCTCTTCCACTAAACACTAATCAGAGGCAGGTATAATCTCATCCATAGAGGAGGAAATTGATGCACAATTGTTGGCCTTCAGATTCCGCTTCTAATTATTCTGTGTATCCTGATGTAAGCAAATGACTATCTACTGTATTAATAGCTTAATTTTCATTCTGTCCTAAGGTTAGGAAAACGACTGGAATTTGGAAAGCTTCCTTCAAGTATTCCATCACCATCGCTGCCATCACCACAGGGTGTTGTCAAGATGCTGCTTTGAGAATCGTGGGCATTGAAGACCGTGGTGTTCTAGTTTTGTTACCATTTTCTTTTGAAACTAATCTTTTAAAATTTGTTTGAATAAAAGAACAAACAGGCATAGTAGTTAACTCCATGTGTTGTGGACCAAGTGTGTAATTTGGAGAACTAGCCTGCAGGCAGCAGTTTTCTTACCAAATTTAGTTTAGTGTTGCCACTGTCTTACAGTGAGAAGACTGAACATTTTGTCACATGCTTTATTGTGGAAGTGGCTGTAACTCAATTTTGACCAAATACCTGGCCAACTCCGATGTCATAACTGGCGTCATAGCCAGGGGGATGTTTTATTAGTCATTGGTTCCTCATATATGTGCCTGCCCATCTTACCGGCCTGCCTCCATCCTTCAGAGGGCCCTTATTCAATTAAAATACACTATTCATAGTGACCCATTTTGTCTGGTATGGAATTTCCAGTGCTGTGTAGACTTATTAAGGGATGGTTTCATTTAAATTATTTCTAGGAATACAAGGTAGTATTCCTGTAGAATACTTCTTTTAAAAAGGCATAAATGGTGCAGGGCTACCCTTGTTGCCTTGCCAGAACATTTTAACCTCTTACTGAGTTATTTAGGTGCTTTATCCTAAGACTTTTAGTCCAGTTCCAAGCTAATTTTGATTTTGACCAAGGTCAGTAAAAGTTGGTTACTTTATAAGTAAATTGTAACCATTGACTGTCTAAATCTACTAGTAGGTGTTGGTTTCATTTTTGAATTTCATGAGGCAATTGAGGCAGGTTGCCCCCTGTAAGGTGATCTGTATAAAACAGGCTTCATTCAAAGGCAAATTCGAATTATGTGAGATATCTTTTAAATGTGCCTACAATGGAGCTTACTTGTTTTGGAAGATTTCCTTTCCTTCAAGGAAAGACTGTGGCCTCAACATTGCTTAAAACCTAGGGGATCCATCAGTTTGCAGCATTCAACACTGCTTGTTGGTAACACCTGTTCTGTATCTTCAGCCTGGAGAGGGGAACTGCACTAACTTCAGGGGCATATTCTCATCTTGAATCAAAAACCTTTGCTGACAACCTTCTGCTGAGTTAGTTTTTGGGGAGACAGCAAAAATCTTTGAGTTGGGAATATAGCTTTAATTGCTACTGAAATTATTAAGTGGAAATATTGCTACTATTGATGTTTATTAATCTAAGAAATGTTCTTAACGTGTATCAGAAAAAATGCTTTATTTTTCTAAAAAAAAATTTTTTTTTGTCAAGAGAGAGTAATGTTTCACTTTGTTTTAAACTAAGCAATAATTCCAAGATAGTTATTTAATGTCATTATAAGTAGGTGCATACCCTGTCTAATGTCTCCAAGTTGGTTCTACAGAAGTGCAGTATTGGGTACAGTGACTTTACGGGGGGGCAGTTAAGTTCCATAAAAAATGTTATAAATGGGCAGTCAGGCAAATGATGTTACAGTGGGGTTTAGTGACATTATGTCAGGGTTTGGTTATAATTTATTAAGGATTTAATATGGTGAAGTGATACTGATTAGGGCAGCATTATATAAGGTATGCTTTTATTTGTATTTTGTCATGTGGTTTAAAGCCTTGTTTTTTTAACCAAGTAAATGGATATGAATTGAAAATTATCTTTGAAAATAAATTATTTCCACACAGGTAGCCTTTTTAGAAAATGCTGTTTCAGGTGAGGGCACCGATAAACGTGTGCTAATATTGTCATTTTACTGAGTACTTGTTACTTCTTATAATGGAAATTAGCAGTCTTTAATTTCCTTGAATCTACCTTATCTGGCTGAGTCAGTGTACAGAATAAAGTTTGTTCTTAATGATATATGTGTGCAAGCCGGTGTTTTGCCATCTGAAATTCTAAAGAAATCTATTGCTACCCCATATTCTTGCACTCAGCACATACACTGCAGTGACATTTGAAATTATTCCTCATCACCTGAGTTTGGAAAAATTCTTGAAAGAAGAAATTAAGCATGATTGCCCTTTGAAGCCCCTTTCCTCCATCTCTCCCTTGTAGTTTGGCTTCAGGTTCCACAGTGATCTTCATTGGCTGCTGATGTCAACTTCTCACTCGACTCACTGCTCCCAGGGAGCCTCTCAAGTTTATTTCTGCCTCAGGACTCCTCTATTTTCCCCTTGAGGCCATGGAGAAAATTCCCCAACAAGAAAAACCCATTGCATTCTAGTGATTTATAACCTTTTATTAGTGAAAGTGTCTTTAAGCACAATCAGGGTGCATATAAAACAGTGCAACATTTCTGCTTTATTAGTTTGAGCAAATTATTTCGTTTTTAATGTGTGACTAATGAAGGCACTTCATTGTTTTTTGGTGAACTGTGCATCAGAAGTGTAGTAACCAGGAAAGAAAAAAAAACTTCAAACACGGGCATATGGCAAAAGAGACAAAGGATATGCAGTTAAGAAAAAGAGTATGGGGGCAGGACCACCCGATGTGGTGACTGTGTCCCCATTTCATGTAAACTAAGGCTCATCTGGGATTAAAAACTGCCAGTGATTCAGTACTGTGGTTGTATTTTCTTTCTAAAAATCTCAAAACATTTGCACAGTTCAGGAGGGACAGAGAGAAGGCATGCATGCAGGGCACATATTTCCTGGTAAGATTTTTTTTTTTCCTAATTTGGTAACGATTGAAAATTTCAATATATACCCTGTAGCCAGGGCTGTGCTTTTTAATCATTGCTGTAAGAGTGTTTGTTGAGTGTCTTGTGGTACTGGAACTGAAAATTGATTTAGACAGTGCTAAATATTGTCCTTTGGGGTATCTGACTGCAGTGCGATATGCAAGCAGAGTATTTATCTATTCACTGGCTTTGGTTCCATTGAAGTCTGTATCTCTGGCATCCATTTCTTCTTCTGAGCCTTCTGCATTTTCAATCACTCTTCGGCCTCCAGATCTTCTAGGGGGGACAAAAGATGTCTCGTTTCCTCTCCTATGTATTTTGAGAAAATAAACATCTTTTAGAAAACAAGTTTTTCTCAAGTCTAGATTGGATTAAAAGGTTAAAAATGCATCAACATGAGAGTACAATTTGAATTCAAGAAATCCGGAAGGCTTTTCAGGTGTAGATTAGATAATTTAAGTTAGCCCAAACATGTCTTGTGCAAATTCTAGGCTATATCTTAAGCAGAAATAATCCATATTTGGAAAACTATGAAGGTCATAGAGAAAAAAATATTCCTGCTTCGTCTTTTTCTCTATGAAAAGAGAAGGGTTAATTTTTATTTAGACCCTTTAATGAAGGTGTAGCTCTCCATCCCTAGGAAGTCCAGGGCTAACTTCAATCCCATAGTAGGTGTTTGTCCTTTGCTCCCTCAAAATAGTTTTATCTACTTGAAATCAGGTTAAAGTAAATAACGAAGGGTATCCTTCAAGAGGAGGAAGAGTCACAAAGAGCACCCTGAGGTGTATGGAAGGAGAAAGGGCAGTCTTAGGGAGCGTAAGGGATTTATGGGCTGACTGTGCATTTAAATTTCAGTGTTTTTTTTTTTTATTGTTTTTTAGTACTAACTTGCAGACGCTACCTTCTCCACCTTTGTGCTGCTCAGATAGTGGCTGGTTCTGATTCACGTTGAGGTAAGTGCTTTATAAGTAAAAATTCACGCTGTAACAGCAGCTGAAAGACTGCTATTAAGATGATAAGATAAATCTAAAAATACCAAAGGGAAAACTGATGAATGTACCTGATTTGGAAGAGGAAAGCAGGTCCATATTCAATTTAATTTTGCTAGTTTGGAAGAAATGATTTAAATGAAATGAGCCTGCAAATATCGGAAAAGATGAAGAAGGAATAAGAGACGATTTTTCCCCCAGCAGAGTAACTGCAGTAGTTGAAATGCTTTTAGGTGTGTGGGAGGAAAGTTATCCCCAGCTTAGTATTTTTGTCTCTGACCTTGAAGATAGAACTTGCTCCTTTGTCACCGTCTGAGAGCAAGCAAAGTGTGTCCTATATGAGAAAGTTATCTGATAGCACCATAGCTCTTGGTAGACATGCTTGGGGCAAGAGAAGACCATAGTTTTGTTTTTGTTTTTTAATTCCAAAGCAGCAACTATATTTAGAGGTAAGATTATAGACATAATAAGCAAGGGCCTATATTTCATGATCGCTGAGAAAAGTAGCAAAAGTCACTCATTGTATTGGAAACATGAAGACACTGGCCTGTAAATGCTACCAGCTTTGGGAATGTGTTGTTTCCAAGTAGGCAGCAATCATGGATAAATAGTTAAAGTTGTATCATGTCACTGCAAAAGACTCTAGGTCAGCTTCACTCATTTCAAAGGATGGATGTTTAGGCCTTAAAAGCCACCTTAGAACTTCAAAGGGTCAGCAGTAACTCTTGTAGGCTAGCTATTATTCTGATCTTAAAAGCTTCAGTAAGTTCTACTTAGACTTATTCTGAAAGCTTAATCATTTAGGGCAGTATTTCCCAACACTTTAAAGTCAGTGACATACCAGTGAACTGGCGTGGGGAGGGGGAAGCTACACAGATCTACATATACTTTCCTAGGAATAGCAAGGTAGGATATACTTCTGAGAACTAGTGTACTAGTGTACACACACACACACATACACACACACACACCTTTCTGCCACACTTGCTGCTTCATGCCAAAAGTTGAAAGAGAAGGGAGAGGACTAAGGTTGCCCAGTAAAACACACACAACTCCATGTGTTGAAAGTGTCCCACCTTAGTAGTTGAGAAATGGATATTTTAGGAAAAACACAGATGAGGCAATAGAAAGTTGTGAAAAGGGCACAGGATTTGGAGTCACACCTGGGTTTCAATTCATCTCTACTACCATGTGATTCACTATACCTGTGTAATCCTAAGCAAGTAAACCTTTTAACCTCTGTGGTCTCCTCAGTTTCCTCCTCTGTAAAATTAGGCTGGACTAAATCATTGCTAAGGTCCCTTCCAACTCTAAATCCTATTATCCTACAGTTAAAAAATGAATTTTAAAATCCCTGCCTTATATGGTTTCCTGCCTTCTGTTCTGATTCCAGTACCCAAAGGAGACTTGTTGTGATCCAGAAATCCCTGTCTTTCAAACCCTAGTGCCAAGGGTTAAGGTTGGGTCTATTTATACTATGAGATAATATTTTATTTAAAGGCCTGGTCCTAGGAGAAGTCAAGCTGAGTAAACTTCCCTAGAAAAAAATAAACTTGCTCTGAGGATAATACTACTTTTGAGGACCTTGCTTAGTATCCTAAACCAGCTTCATTCCACTATTTGAGAACTTCACTAATAGGAGGCAGTCTCCTCTTTGTAGCAAATCAAGCCCTAGGCTTGCTGAAACAAGTACCTACCTGCCTTTGTAAAAAAAAAAAAAAAAAATAGTGCTTCACCCTCTGCCCCCTCCAAAAAAAAAAAAATAGTAAGCCCTGCAGCTGCATGTACTAAAGGAGTCAGGATGGTTCTGTAGAATTAGAAAGTGAGATGTCAAGCTGATAATAAAGCCTTTGCTAAGACATGATTCATCTTTAAATATTTTGGTGATAGTAGCAAAGCAGAGACTGCCCCAAAGAAAAGATTCACGCAAATATTACAACACAGGGTCATTTGGCCTCTGAAAGGAAACCAGGGGCAAAGTGACATAACTTTAGATAGGAAAAGACAATTAACTCTTTTCAGAAATTAAAAATTTCATCTCTTGCAAATGACCTTCACAAGCATTTTCAAATGAAGGGTTCTGCCTTCCATTCCTTGAATGCATTGTTCCTGTGGTTTTGAAAAACAACTCTGCCAATAAGAATGGTAGCTGGTTTTGCAGTGGCTAGGGCTAGACCTTTCTGTAACCTACACTGAGTAAAGTGGCCACTGGCAATTAGGACATTCTTAAGCTTCATGCAGTTCAGGCACTAATGAAATATTTTGGTGACAGGTTTCTTTTCTTTCCCTGACGTCGATGCTATTTGTGAAAGCATAGTTGTGAGAGAACATTGGTTGTGCTCTCTGTAAATGTGGTGCTTTGTGATTTAATATAATTTGTGAACCACCATAGCCAGATGGGAGCAGTTTTTCTTGCAAAAAAAAATTGTGTCAATGGCAAAAAAATTGATGCTCAATTATCAATGTGTTTTTAAGGGTGCAGAAGACTTCATGCAGATAAGAAAACTCCAGCAATTCATTCAGTGTACAGCTTCTCATCCTTAAGAATTAAGTATTATTTGGTGTAAAATCACATGCTACAGTGTTTCCTAGAAGTAGGGAAAGAATATGGGTCAAGGGATGGTCTTATTGTAATATTTGTCTCTTGGGATAAAAGACAAATTGGTACCAAAAGATGTTTAAGCCTTCAGATTTTGCAGGAATCTCATGGAAATTTGCCAGGGCAAGAAAAACGAAAATGGAAACTTGGTACAACAGAAATGAGCTGCAAAGTTGAAGGCATGGTACCTGGTGAGTCATTGCGAAGGTTCCTGTGGGCCTCTGAAACAAAGAGAGAAGAGTCCCTGGTGGTTACCATTGGAAAACGGGAAGAATTCCATTTACTTACGTAACTTTTCAACAAAATGTAAGCATTTGGTACAGCACCTTCAAACCAGCCTTGCAGATACCCAGGTACCTGATGTCTGTGGCAAAGATACTGACTTTTCCAAAGCTTTTTAGAGAGAGGGAACTAAAATTTTTAAAAATAAAAATTTAAAAAATAAAAGGTTGGGCTGGTAAATTTCTGTACACCAAAGCTCCTCTTAAAAAGCTATGTTACTTCATACTTTGTGAATGTCTTGCACTACTGCCTCCCTGCTTAGACAAAAGAGCATTCAAATGCCTTGCTCCAGAAGCCTGACTTTGAAACA